AAGATGGTAGTTCTGAACCCTGAACCTAGTAGTGTAATTTTTAGAAGACAACACAATTTTCATTACCCGGCTCTTAGAAGGCAACAAAGTACCAGTATCAGATTATGTGGTGCATAGTGGGACCACCAATTTCAACAAGTTCAGAATTCAGCCAATTCGAAAGCCAAGTAGTGTATGCCAGCACAATTTTGTATGATCACTTGCAGCGTATACAGTATCCAGACAATGGAACATAATAGCAACATACTAGCTCCTTGTGGCAATAACAGGAGTCTCAGAAGAAGAACACAGCTACAATAGTTGCAGGAGAGAAAAGGGCCAATGGCGAAATAGATATCCTATCCAATCAAAATTGGCTATGTACCCTAACAGTGTTGTCAACACCATTCGGGATGTTGAGGTAACAAACCAATCCAAATGGAGCCTTTTGTAATTCCATGATTTGCAATCAAAATCAAGGGAAACAACAGATCCTTGTGTTCCATGATTGGCAATTTTGCATAGACAACCCTTTTGTAAAAGAGGGCGGCCTGCTATATTAAGACCGTATAACTTTAACCATCCTCAAATTTGAAGGATCTACAGCAAATGTCTAGGCAGCCTAGCTCAGGCAGTAAGTTATTGCACAGCTTTGCTTGCGGTATTGTGCATCACCCTCGAGTTGGAGAAGCGAAAGCTGGCAATGAGCATCTTCCGACAGGGTTACGGATTAAGCACGCGCTTCAAGCATTTGTAGATAATATATGCCTCTGAATTTGACTACTTGACAATGTCAAGAAGCCTCAGTACTCTACCGTCACAAACTCCCGTATACGGCCTCATGCGATTTGCGCATGGTAAATCCAGATACACACGCTCGGTTATGTAGAAATCCGGCAAGGGGACTGCGCCGAAAATTCCATTTCCTACCCCACGTCGCACAACAATCATCCTATTCACCCCCCCAAGAAATCAACGGCAATTCAGGCTAAAGTAACACTACCACCTAAACAGCAGGGAGCAGTAAAATACATAGAAGAATCGCGGATACCGAGCCGATAGCATCATCCTAGTCCCGGCTACCCAAATCGCCCATCAGTATCGAAGGTGAGCAAGGCTAGGATCACATCTTGAATTCTTTTAACAAAGAGCACCACGCCTCAGCATCGGTCGAGGTACAGACTAGCATGTCACGGAATGGGCACGGGAAAGGGCCGGCGGGGCTTACCGACGAACGGAGCTCCGGGATTCGGCGGGAGAGGGCGGTGGGAGCTGGAGGCCCCGGATCCAAAATCGCTCTTGCCTTCTGAACGAAAGAGGAACCGCGCCGCACGGCAGAGGGTTCTGGAGGAACAAGACCACTTTGCTCCGTGTGAACCGAACCAGATTTACTTGGCCCCGTCCGATCGCGACCGTCGGTTTTAGATCGAACGGTCCGCAACGCTTCGACTGGACGCGAGTAGAGACTTCCGACCCGCGCCGCACGCAAACCAGTCCCCCTCTTCCCTCGGCCGCCGCAGAGAGAGAACAGCACCGCAGCGGAGAGGGGAGAGAGAGACAGAGGGAACATGGTGGCGCCGAACGTGAAGGCAGAGACGATGAGGCTGATGGACCGGCGGTCGGCGCTGGAGGCGGAGATGGACGCCATCATCGCCGCCCTCTCCGCGCCGGGCGGGGCGGGCATCACGGGCTCCCTCGTCGACGCCGAGGTACCGTCGCGCCCTCGCTTCCCCCCGCGCCCTAAACCCTAGCAGCATGAACCCTCTGCGTTGTCCTCCGCTCCTTCCTCGACGGGTTATAGTTTGCTAATCGCGGCTGTTTTGGTTCGGCTTAGGGTTTCCCCAGGGCGGACATCGACATCCCCGCCGTCCTCGCCCAGCGCCGCAAGCTCGGTGGTATGCTCTCACTCGGATTCTCGTCCTACTACTTATCATATCGATGCGCTTGTTTCTACCGTATGGCTACATGTACTGCTGACGCGTTGCGTTTGTTTTGGCGTATGCCGTGCACCTTATGGTGCTCCATTCATGGTCCGGGATTATGAATTGATTTTTGCAAATACGGTGACATTTGTGGCCAGTAATGGGGATGCAAGAGTTGTAGTTGAATTGCTTCTCCTGCGAGGGTGGTGAGTTCTGGGTGTTGGGAGGTGGCCCTGATATGAGCTATGCCTGGCGAGTGTTCAGCAAGTTGGATATCAGGGCATGCCCTTTTGGCATCAGTAGTGAACTGATAGTAAATATAGAACATTCATAGGAGATTAGGGGTGAAGCATAGTGTTATCTCTTATGCTGAACTGATGGGTGTTAAGTGTTGAGAAAAAAAAAGAGTTGTCCTTTTTTTGTAAGTTCAGGATCATCGTTTTTCTTCATTGCTGAGTACATTTACAGATTTGGCTTATGGGCTTAGGCCGACTGGCAAGAACTAATCATTGCACATCACCATAGTGTGTATATTCTAAATCTTCTCAGCGTGCTGTAAAGTATATTTGGTACTTACACTGTATAATGTACATTGCAGAGCTGAGGAATGACCACAAGGATGTTACAAGCAAAATTGAGAAGAATCTGGAAGTTTTACACTCTACAAAATTAACAAGAAATGAGCAATCAATCCCAAGAAGTTCTGGTAAGTACTGGACACTCTGTGGCTCTGTGGTCACATTAACTTGTCATGATGGGAAATGTGCTTCCAAGCTTATAGATTTGCCATTTGTATCTTCTCAGATGTCTATAAGGAACACATGAAAATAAATATATCTTATTTTCCGTAAGTACTGTACTCCTGTCCACAAATTAGACATTTCTTTACTTTTGGAACTCCAATGCACGACTGTAACTAATTTCTATCATAATATACTAGTAGCTAAATAATACATAGAACTCGTGTATTATGGAAGCACTCTACAAAACAAATCGAATGAAACTAGTTTTGGTGATTCTATATCCTTCTTAATACTGGTCAAAGTTTCAAAAAGGTTGACTACATGCATCTGAAGTTGACCTATGTTTGGAGATGGATAGATTAAATTAAATCTGTGAGATTGGACATATTCAAAGTTCGTATTGGTCTCTCAAGTTCTTGGTTTACTCCTTACTGTGGTGTGTCTTGGCTTTCTTTTATGACATATCTTCAAATGATCTTTATAACCTCACCAACACTTTGTAATTTACTCATGCTCACTAACACTGACACTTGAAATACCCTCAGTTACAAAATGGTTTAGCATTTTAAGAATTATTATTTTTACTGTGTGAACACAAACTGATGACCAATGGATGCCATAGCATTATTTGCACATTGCCGTGTTAAACATCCAGTTACCTTGAAACTAGTGGCGACAGCAGCACCAAAATGCTGTGTGTTCAAGTGCACTAAACTCTCTAAACCTAACGGTGAATGAAAAAAGACTGTCGAGTCAGCTGACCCCATAGCTTACATGTAGAATCATCACTGCATGGAACAAGGCCCATTCTTAAGCATGAATTAAATTATAATAATTATAATGGTAAGGAAATTAAAGTTGCTGATCTCCATCATATTTGATCGCATGCAGGTATATCAGCTCCACTGCATGGTGGATTGTCTCAAAATGATCCTATGGAAGAGGATGTGGTAACCAGACTTCCTTTTGCCATAATTGATGACATTGCAGATGGTTCTCCTGCTGCTTTGGATGGCTTGCTGCTTGGGGATGAGATAGTGAAGTTTGGGAGTGTAGAGGCTGGTGGCAGACTGCAAGAAAGGCTTGTTTCTGAAGCCGTTTCCAATGAGGATAATCAAGTATCTCTACTCATCATTCGTCAGGGATCACCAATGAACTTGACAATCACACCAAGAAAGTGGCATGGAAGAGGACTTATGGGGTATGCTTTACTAAACTTCTGTATCAATTGTTCTGTTGCGTTTTTAGCCTATCAAAAAGTATCAGACCTTTCTTTTTCAATATTTTGTTAATGTAAATATTTAGGATGCCTTTTGTTGTCACAGCAGATCCCTGTACTTACTCCCGTTGTTACAAATATTACTAACAAAAGTGTATACCTTGGCTGTTAAATGTGACCGGGTTGACATGAATTAGATGCGACACAACGCTACCTCAGTTGTGACATGCACATATTTTTTTGTAGAGGGTCATGGAGACTTATATTGAACAAATACATGATGGCAATTTGTTCTAGTCTACTATTATGTTGAAAACAGCTTTTATTATAAATTGCAGAGAACTGCATGTCCTCCTACCTTATACATGAAACCTCAGGTTCTGGAGAATTGTGCAACAAACACAACCCCTATTTTGTAGTAATGTCCCTCCTAGTCAGCAATTTGCCGATTAGGCACCACTTACCACCTCTTCGGCAACCCTACCTGGTAATAGGAAATAACCAGAAGCAGCATGTGAAGTGCTTGTGAGGATCTTACCCGGACATAATCACACGACATGTTGGATAGACTGAAGATGTATGTTCTTTGTTAGTTCTGTTGATCCTTCTGCAGTATTTTTTTTTCTTCTGTCGTTGAATGCTAACAGCAGATCACATGTAAACCATGCCATCTCTAGCTGACAAGCTTATCATACGTGTTAATGGTTTGTTGATTGATGTCTTAACTGTAACTTGGTTTCTTGTTCTCACAGGTGCCATTTCCGAATCTTATGAAGGGCCGGTCTATATATTCAACTGAAGAATGGCGTGCTTTCACGTCTGCACTTGTGCTGACAGCTCTTGCCGCTCAACGTTTCAATCGAGTCGAAGTAAACTGATAACCTGAATGCATGTACTTACTTTACCTGTAGCTGCGCTTAAAGTACAATGCCACTTGTGGAACCTGTAGTTGCCTTGGTTACAAGCTTTATTTGGTACAATTCCTATAGCTGCGCTTAAAGAACTATGCCCATCACATTTGGTAATGACGATGCAGAAAACCTGGAGTCAAAATGGAGTTGGGTCGATCGTGTGGACGCAGAGAAAAATAGTGTCAATTCTCGGTGCAATTGTGGAAAGGTCCCATCTGGTCTTTGGCGACTTGGTCTTACATACACAACGCAGACTGCTCAACAAGAACAACAGCACGTCGGTCACTTGTATACGCGTGGCGACTTAGTGAGAATGCATCGCTTCAGGAATTGTTCGGCCTCGCATGGGAGCATTAAGCATCCACCTAATAAGCTTTAGCCCAACTTTAGACTATCGGCTGTTGTTAATTAGCCCTAAATCGGCAGCCGGTTGCCAGAAACTGCGTAGGAAAATACCTTTCGTTCTTATATGAGCATGCTGTATAATTTATCTAAAGAGAGCATGCTATTTAGAGACATGATGATGCGCAGACCTGCTATTTAAACAACAAACAAAACAAAAAACAACAACAAAGCCTTTAGTCCCAAACAAGTTGGGGTAGGCTAGAGGTGAAACCCATAAAATCTCGCAACTAACTCATGGCTCTGGCACATGGATAGCAAGCTTCCACGTACCCCCTGTCCATAGCTAGCTCTTTGTCGATACTCCAATCCTTCAGGTCTCTCTTAACGGACTCCTCCCATGTCAAAATCGGTCGACCCCGCCCTCTCTTGACATTCTCCGCACGCTTTAGCCGTCCGCTATGCACTGGAGCTTCTGGAGGCCTGCGCTGAATATGCCCAAACCATCTCAAACGATGTTGGACAAGCTTCTCCTCAATTGGTGCTACCCCAACTCTATCTCGTATATCATCATTCCGGACTCGATCCTTCCTCGTGTGGCCACACATCCATCTCAACATACGCATCTCCGCCACACCTAACTGTTGAACATGTCGCCTTTTAGTCGGCCAACACTCTGCGCCATACAACATTGCGGGTCGAACCGCCGTCCTGTAGAACTTGCCTTTTAGCTTTTGTGGCACTCTCTTGTCACAGAGAATGCCAGAAGCTTGGCGCCACTTCATCCATCCGGCTTTGATTCGATGGTTCACATCTTCATCAATACCCCCATCCTCCTGCAACATTGACCCAAAATACCGAAAGGTGTCCTTCCGAGGTACCACCTGGCCATCAAGGCTAACCTCCTCCTCCTTACAGCTAGTAGTACTGAAACCGCACATCATGTACTCGGTTTTAGTTCTACTAAGCCTAAACCCTTTCGATTCCAAGGTTTGTCTCCATAACTCTAACTTCCTATTTACCCCCGTCCGACTATCGTCAACTAGCACCACATCATCCGCAAAGAGCATACACCATGGGATATCTCCTTGTATACCCCTTGTGACCTCATCCATCACCAATGCAAAAAGATAAGGGCTCAAAGCTGACCCCTGGTGCAGTCCTATCTTAATCGGGAAGTCATCGGTGTCGACATCACTTGTTCGAACACTTGTCACAACATTATTGTACATGTCCTTGATGAGGGTAATGTACTTTGCTGGGACTTTGTGTTTCTCCAAGGCCCACCACATGACATTCCGCGGTATCTTATCATAGGCCTTCTCCAAGTCAATGAACACCATATGCAAGTCCTTCTTATGCTCCCTATATCTCTCCATAAGTTGTCGTACCAAGAAAATGGCTTTCATGGTCGACCTCCCAGGCATGAAACCAAACTGATTTTTGGTCACGCTTGTCATTCTTCTTAAGCGGTGCTCAATGACTCTCTCCCATAGCTTCATTGTATGGCTCATCAGCTTAATTCCACGGTAATTAGTACAACTCTGAACATCCCCCTTGTTCTTGAAGATTGGTACTAATATACTCCGTCTCCATTCTTCTGGCATCTTGTTTGCCCGAAAAATGAGGTTGAAAAGCTTGGTTAGCCATACTATCGCTATGTCCCCGAGACCTTTCCACACCTCAATGGGGATACAATCAGGGCCCATCGCCTTGCCTCCTTTCATCCTTTTTAAAGCCTCCTTCACCTCAGACTCCTGGATGCGCCGCACAAAACGCATGCTGGTCTCATCAAAGGAGTCATTCAGTTTAATGGCAGACCTGCTATTTATATAAACAAAATGCGAGGATTAATTAAGACGCCCACCATAGGACTGGCGAACCGACCGATGGCAAGAGCTAGCCTACTTGATTCTCTGATAGTACTCCCTCCATTTTTATATATAAGGCCATTATGGAATATACATTTTGCATCTATACAAGGCCACAGACAGTATCGAGGCACAGTTAATGATATTTTCTCGTACTAACAACATGTTTAATAATTGCATGCATGCAGTCATAATGACAGTCAGCTACTTCCTCCACTTAGTTTCTTTGCATGCATGCGGAGTATTAATGATTCCAGTAAACAAGAAAAAAGTTGACTTGTAAAGCAGGCATTAAATTTTACATTGGTATACAAAAATGGAGGGAGTACTAAACATGGAGAGTTCGTTATGCTCACAACCAAACATCTACTCCTAGTGGACAATGTTATTAAACAAAAACATATAGTGGACAAAGTCCACAATATTTTATTTATTTATTTATATACCCTCCAATGAGGCCAATCTATGCCTGCACTAATTAATAACCTCACCTAAACACCCACCCTAACATATGCACCACTGATTAGTTCCACTTAAACTTGTGTACTTAGCCACATGATGATGTCCAAAACCAGGAGTGCTGCAGGTTAACGTAGGACAACATGTGTCATGGACGTTTCTTTAATTATCGGATATTATGCTATAAAAGTGTTCCGATTTGGCCGCTCTTGTCAGTGGGTAATGGTCGTCTCGTCGTAAGCGTGTTCCCTTTGCAGATTTTTGGGAGGCCATAGAGACCAAGGCCCCCACTGCAAAGAGGTATGGAACAACCTTGTGCTCATGATTAGAGCCCTGGAGGTATGACCCGGCAAAGATATTGTTGTGATACAAAAATGTTGGGCGGCAGCATAAAGGGAACACTGTTCGTATAAAATGCGACTCCATGATGCGGGGCCCCTGCCATGTAAAATGTTTGATGGCTACGAGGTACCTAACCAAATTAAATTCCCTGGGACTCTATGAGGTGAAACGGCTCATGGGCGCACAGTTCGTCGCTTCATCTGTCCCATCACAAGTCAACAGTGAGCCAGGTTGTGCAGTTTGAAGCTAAAGTTCATGTGCGCTGTGTTTCAAGCTAAAGTTCAGTGTGTCCAACCGTTTCTCATACGCTAGAGCAACTCTAGCGGGGCAGCCTCCATAAATATACATGCTTTATACTCCATCCGTTTTCCAAAATATAAATCTTTTTAGTGTGTAGATTCACTCATTTTGCTCCGTATGTAGTCTGTAGTAGAATCTCCAGAAAGACTTATATTTATGAACGGAGGGAGTAGTATTTTAAAGACCGCGAATGTTGTACAAACACAAAGTCGTCATAATGTCAAGAAGGGGTTTCCGTGCCATTTTCAGGACTGTATTGCAACAT